AGGTAACAAAAGCACTTAGATGAATCAGTGACAATCTGCTGGGGACACAGAAGTTGTTGTGGGAATTGAGCGTTTTCTGGTATTTTTCTGTGTCCTTAATGTAGGGTTTTTAAAGGAAATATATATAGGGAAAAGGAAAGCTTTTTTTTCCATGATTAGCTCATATAAATAGTTTTGATAGCATATAGGAATTACTCTTCTTCAAGCAGAACAGGTTAAAGAACCAATTAGTGGGTACATCTGGTTAAACAAAGCAGTCCTACAGAATGTTTTTGGGGAACACAGGTGGAGTGGATATAGACATTGAATCCTATCTATGATGCAACAGACATCACTACAAAAGGCTTTCCAGAGGGAACAGTAATTTCTGCTGGGGCATTCCTTAGGCAGTCATACACTGAACTGGTCTCTGAGAGCTGGGTGATATCAATACCAACACAGTAACAAAAGAAAACTGATTTTTCGTGTCCTGCTAAGAAACATGCTTAATAAGTATTTTGCTGATATCTGAGCATGACTAATTTTGCCACAATAATGTTTCATCGTGAAGTCTACGCAGTTCATTAATTACTTTATTTGTTGAACCCAGCAGCAAAAAGTTTTGCCTTAAACAGTATCCCATGGGAGAAAGTCCACATAGCTACTGCCAGAAATGTTAATTTCCAAGTGGATTTTTAAAATAATCCCATGGTGTTCTATTGCTTACAAGGAAATACTTTCTTTTTTAAGGTCTACTTGAGTAAAACTAGAGAAAACATACTGACTTAGTTCTTGTTCAGTTCTTTGGAAATTAGGGGAGTAATAATCGTCTGAATTTTTAAATTCTAAGATAAAATGAAACCTATAAAGGAGTAATTTTAGGCATATATTTTATATTTTTAAAAGTCCTACAACAGATTTAAATTTCCTGATGTATTTTATCATGTATTTGGGTGTTTTGTACACATTTACACAGTCACAGGAAGAAATAGCTTGGGTTTTTTGTGTGTGTGTGTTTGTTTTTTTTTCCCTAAATCATACCAGTTCATTAAAACAGGATTTAATGGTCTTAAGATTTCCATTAACAAATTACTCAGTACCCCTACTGTTTTGTGGTAAATGCATTCATGAAAAAAACAGACCTTACTTATAAACATCAATGCTGCATCTATTTAAAATATTATAAATATTTGCATTGGAATCTGGCCTTATGGGCTTGATTTTTTTTTTCTTTTTTACTAATTTCTAATAATTTTAAGTGTCGATGTATGTGTGTAGTCTTGTGCAAAGCAGCTTTAAAATGCATTCAGAAAGTACCAGTCCACTGCTCATTTGCTCCATTTAAAAAATCTAACCTTATATGTATTTACCTGCTGTAATTTTCATCTCCTGGTTATCTCGAAAATTAGCGAATACTATTTGTACGAACAACTGTTTCTGGTATTTTGCAGCACAAATCTTGGGCTCAATTCATCTGAACGACAGGGCTTATTTTGGTAACCAGGTCTATGGAAATGACTGGTGCACAGTACTTTACCAAATCAGCTCTCAACAGACAGTTACTTATTCCCAAACACGAACTTGTTTAATTCACTGACTTCAGAAAGAAGTTTGCAATTTATTTTATTTTTTTTAACAATAGTTCCTAGCTATGTCTTCATTACTAGCTTTTCAAAAGCTTTCTTTCTGCCTTGCAGAGTCCATTCGAAGGACTATGCTCTGGGAAATCAATAAAAGCAGGATAGGTGAACAGACACACTTTGCTCTGCTTGTTGCAGAAGTTGCAGGGTGTTTGTGAATTCACGACAGGGGCGGGGGAAAGGAAAAGAATGATCTTGCTGCAGACACTGAAAGCCCTCCTGGTAAACCGAACACCTTCTCAAGTCTACATCTCCTATGCAAAGCTGGGACTTGCCTTCTTTGAAACTTTTTGCAAATGCCTACTAACTGCTAGCACCTTCTTTTCTCAGTAGCCAGGTTGAAATACACAGAGGTCAGGAGCCCTCTGCTTTGCTAAAGAAACAGTCACTGAAAGGATTTGAAATCCAGTTAGGATCTCCAGAACTAGCAGGTATCTGACCATCCTTGCTCTACTATCTACCCAGCATTTGCCAGTCTTTAATTAGTTTGTTACAAGACACTCAGAAATCACACAGCATGCTTGTATCAAATGCATATTTAGGAAGAAATTTTTTTAATGGTCTTTGGTGCACAATGGACAAAATTAAATAAATCCAGAACCTGATTAAATAAATCAGATGAGACATAATTAAAAACAAAGCAAACAAAAAACAACCAAAAAATGTAGAGAATAAGTAGTAAGTAAATGAAGGTGGGACCCTAGGAGGAGGAAAAAAGTCAAATCACAACAATGTCAAGCTTGCCAAAATGCATACATGATTATAATGTATCTAGGGCAGGAAGAAAATGAGTCTGCTTATGCTACAAACCCTGATATTTCTTAACAGGAGTTCTTGCCTTTGCAAGTTGTAAATTTTTGTCGCAACAGGGAGGTGTAATTTCTTTTAAAAGAGAATAGCATCTGACTTGCATTATCATAAAACTTGTATCAACACATCTACTAACAATGAAAACAGGCAGCAAAAGAGAAAATCCAGAGAAGATTCACTGACTGTACAGCAGGACTATCCTATACTTCAGTGTCATGATTCTCTTTCAAATAAATGGCAAATTTTAAGAACTCATTCATCTGCCCTGCTCTCAGACTTTCATAGCTTCTTCCCACAAAGATATTCCTCCTACCACTAACCTGTCTGATGGAAGGTTCTCTCAGCATCTGTTCATCTGCCAACTGTGCAGCATCCCTAACAAGCGAGGGAAGACCAAGATGCAGAAGAGACAGCAAGAACTAGTCTGAGCCAAGCCTGAGATTAAATTCACCTATACTGTAAAAGCAAATTCCTTTGTCTTCTTCCCTCAACACCCTCAAAGAACAAACAAACCCACAGCATCATTCTTCATTGAAGTGTATGTCTATTGTGGGTTTTAGTTGTCAAGAATATAACTTTGCTTAGATTCCTTAGTTCTGCCCATCCTGTAAATCTTCCACCCTCCAGACAAACTGAATCTTGCATCATGGGAGTGATGCCTTCTTGTTCTGACCAGAACTTGACTGTTCTGCCAATCAATTTTTAAGGAGAATTAGTGGTTTCCTGATGAGACACAATGATAGCCACACGGATTGCTGAGATAAATGGAAATAATACAAGAAAAGGACCCCCTAACTAAGACAACAATTAGTATTTATACAAGTATTTATTTTTTACTCATAAATAAAATTTATCTCAGTTCTTCCAGCCCTGTGCTTTTCCCTTCCATTCACAGCTCCTTTGTGCAATATTCTGGCATTATTAAAAAATAAAATTGCACATGATAGAACAAATGTCATTCCCATATATAAGACTTTAGAGTTGTAAGAAGCCTCCAAGAAGAGGACAGCTTGCTTCACTTCTTCTAATAATTTTGGATAAACACAAAGAAAGAGAAACTTAAAGACAAGGGACTGCTCAAAACTAAGCAGCGATGAGGCTGCTTTCCTGGAGGTCAGGACAACACTGGAGAGTTCTTTGCTGTGTGGCCAGGCATCTCAATACACTGACACACAGCATCTTAAAGCAGAACTCCTGACTTGATTCCCAGGCTAGAAGCTGCTGAATGTGTTGCAAATATTTAAAGCAGCCTGTTTGCTTTTTAAAGTTTAAAAAAAAAAAGCACAAACCCCCTGCCACAACTACTTGCACAAAGTCCAATATCTGAGGTCAATCGCTGTGCTAATGTACTTCCTCTTAACTTTGTGTCCAACCCTCACAACTACAAAGATACTTAAAGATTTGGTTATTTCTACATACTGCTCTGCTATTATTGCCTACGAGAAGTGAAACACTAGCAGAAACCCACTCCTGACTTTAAAGGTGCAAACTCAATCCCAGTAAAGCAAATTTTTATTTAAAATGAGGCTTCAGTCATAAACTGGGCTAATTATAACTGCCCATCTAACTTCATTCCTCCTCGGGCCAGATGCAGGAAGCATTAAAAAAAAATGAATGACTACATACAACCATGACACCTGGTTCAGAGTCAAGACAACAAAATACCAAAAGAATTAAAGATTTTTGCTGTTCAGAACAGACTTTGGCCAGTCAGCTGTTTGTACCAACCCCTACTGCACATGGGCTCAGATTGCCAAATGTTACAGAAATATATGTATATACACATTATATATACATATAGTACATACATATATACATACATACATATATGTATAATACATACATAATATATATATACATATAATGTGTGTGTATATATATATATATATATAATGTATTGAGAGTATATTTTACTCATCCCCAGTACATGTTCTGTCTTGAAATAACCTGTAAAGAAATATCTTAAAACTACATGTCCCTGAATGCAGGGCAAACTCTTAATTCTGCTTCAGTGCTACTGTTTTAATTCAAGTAGTTCCCTGTAAAACTAAGCAAAATGGACTTAAACTGATGAACTGCCAGAAGGAAGCTGGACAATGAGGTTATACTGCAATAGTCTTCAGAAGTCCCTTAATACAAGAACGTGAAAATCAGAGATGTCAGCAAACGCCAGGCTGCAGGACCACACTGTTCACTAGTGTTTTGCTGAATTAGAGATTTCATCTGATGAAGATGCCAGTGACAGTCTGTATCAAACACGTCTCAAACACACTAGCACTGAGTAATTAATTACTGGCTTACAAAAAACAAATAGTATAAAAAAAAATGCACACTGAAAAAAACATGACTAAAACAGCTGATCGACAGGGAAAGAAAAAAAAAGAAAAAAGCAGTGTGTATGTAAGGAAAGAAAAGCAGGGAAGTGCAAAACTTCGCAGTATTTCTAAGCAGAAACTGGGTCTGAGAACAGCCTTCAGAATTTCATTTTACTACGGCCTCCACTGCAGCCACAGCAACGAAAGGATCCAGTTAAATATGACAAAGGAGCCCTCGTACGAGTGAAAAAACCTGATGTTCGGCAGTATCTATGGGAAGACGCACTTGGGAGATCCGCACAGAGCTGAACGCAAACAAGCCTGCGACGAAGCAGCGATCCCTGCTCGCCCGGAGCTGCAGAACGCGGCGGCTGCCCCGGGGAGCATCTGCCTGAAACCCCACCTGGGACCCGCCGCGGGGTCTGGCTCCGGCTTCTCCTCCTTCTCCTTCTCCGGGGCAAGGCGAAGTCGCTCTGCAGCCCTCACCGCTCCCTCCCGGCGTCAGGAACGCGAGTCCCAGCCCCGCGGCCCGAGGAGCGAAGCGCCGAACCCCCGGGGACCCCGACGGGCGGGACCCGCAGCCCCCCGACCGGCTGCCCGCGGGGCCT